AAAACAATGTGCAGACAATTTAATGAAATAAAAGGCTACTTAAAGATAGTACACCTTCATGACTGATTCTCAAAACACTTAAGTAGACTTTTAATAAGTGCAATTTATAAATGTGAAGTTCTACTTTGATGTACAGTTTTAATCCTTATGACTTGTGATTTAAAGAGATACACTTATTTTGATGAGTTGACAAACATACTAAAGCACATGTAAAGCACCCGTTTTCATTTTTAACTGTACTATGCTATTTGATTTTACATTTAAAGTTAATATATTTTAAATGTGCTAAATTGTACATCAATTCAAATGTTTAGTTACAAATATATTTAAATACATGGCATAACAAGTTTTAATATAAATGGCATTAAAGTATATTTTAGTTAACATTGAAATAAATTAACTTTTCCACGACATTCTAATTTATTGAGATGCACCTGTACTTATCAGCATATTCAGCAAGACATTTTCAAAGACAAAAGATGTAACTATGAAATTACATATAAAGATGTAATTATAGGGATAGTTTACCCCAAAAAATGAAGTGTCATCACTTACTTACCCTCAAATTGTTCCAATTCTGTATGAGTTTCTTTCTTCTGTCAAACATAAAATAAGATATTTTGAAGAATATGGGTAACCAAATATTTGATGGTCCCCTTTGACTTCCACAGTATGGGGTGGGGGGGGCGATACGGAACTAAATGAAGACCATTGTTACAGTACTAGGAACGAGGAGCGAAGGAGCAAGGAGACGTGGGAGAATTCACAAAATACAGACTTTATTCACACGTAGCACAGGAACCTTAGGACGATATAAGACAGGATGAAGGACTCAGGAAAACATAGGGCTTAAATAGGGAAATAAACGAGGAAATTAACAAGAAACACCTGGAATCAATATCACAATCAGACATGAGGGAAAAACTTGGACATGGAGCATGTGGGGGAGGAAAACAAACACAAACCAGGCCATGGCATGACAACCATCAATGGTCTGGTTAAACACATTCTTCAAAATGTCTTCAGAAAAAAAGAAACTTCACACTTAAAGTGTTTTTGTATTGTTTTGTATTTTATTGATTTGCATTTTGCTGTAAGGTGTCATTGAGTGCCTTCAAAGGTGCCTATATTAGTATATTTGTATAAAGGTATATTAAGTATATTTTTTTATTATTATGTAACAATGTACAACATTTAAAAAAAAAATTTTTTGACACTGTCTGATTCTCAAATGTTGTGGGGAATGTTCCCTTATTTTTGTGAAGAGGTGATTTATTGTGAGTGAGTTAATTAAAAAATACTACATTGGCATAAATAAAACACAAAGTCATAAATAGATGTGAATAGTGAAAAAGAAACAAATGTGCCAAATTCTACACATGTGGTGAGACATGGCTTTACTCAAAACAAATGCAATTAATTGACTTCAAAATCTGCCACTCTTTCTCAGGCCAGCTCTACTGCCTTACATCATGTCTACACTGAAAGCAACCAATGTTGCATCAAGATGCAATGTCCTTGAGGCCTTATTTCAGTGGAAATACCAAGCTGCACATTACCGTAGGAAGTTCCCTGATTATGCACAAGACTATTGGCTGTGAGTTGGAGCTATGAAAATCTAAATTTTTCATAATTTTTTTTTAAATGCAATGACATTTGACTACACACATCTACATAAAATCAAATAATATTTAAATGAGTAGATCACAAGTTGAAGCAGAAACATCAGAAGGTGGCTTTGATGTAATAGTCAGAAGCTAATAAATATAATCAAGTCAAATGTACAGCAAAAAAAACTCACAGATATTTTATTTATTTATTTTTATTATTATTCAGATGATTTCTTTTTACACTACCTTCATGGTCTTTTTGTGTTTTTTGGAGCAAGACAATGGTCACTGCAGAATGCAGAAACGTTAATTAATGCGTTCATGACCTCAAGGTTAAATAACTGTAATGCTTTATTGGGTGGTTGCTCTGCGCGCTTAATAAACAAACTCCAGCTGGTTCGAAATGCAGCAGCTAATTCTTACTAGAACCAGGAAGTATGACCACATTAGCCCAGTTCTGTCAACACTGGCTCCCTATTGAACATCGAATACATTTTAAAATCTTGCTAATTACTTATAAAGCCCTGAATGGTTTAGCTCCTCAGTACTTGAGCAAGTTCACATCGCATTATAGTCCTTCACATCCGCTGCAATCTCAAAACTCTTGCCAATTTGATAATACCTAGAATAACAAAATCAACTGCAGTTGGCAGATCCTTTTCCTATTTAGCACCCAAACTCTGGAACAATCTACCTAACACCGTTCTAGAGGCAGACACATTCTGTCAGTTTAAATCTAGATTAAAGACCCATCTCTTTAACCTGGCATACACATAACACATTATCGCATTTCTATACTTCAAATCTGTTACACTAAAAGATTGTTAGGTTGCATTAATTAAGTCAACCGGAACCGGGAATACTTCCTATAACACTTGATGTACTTGTCACATCATAAGAAGAATGGCATCTATGCTAATATTAGTCTGTTTCATTCTTATTCCAAGGTCACAAGTCCTCTGCTCAATCTGACCTGTGTTGCAGCCTGGAATTAAACCACTCCATACTGGTTTTGTATGGCCAGAGGAGAACTGGCCCCCCGACTGAGCCTGGGTTCTCCCAATGTTTTTTTTTTCTCCTCCATTTATGTCACAGAAGGAGTTTTGGTTCCTTGCCACTGTCGCCTTTGGCTTGCTTAATTGGGGATGCTTGAATGATTGCACGCCCAAACTCTGGAACAATCTACCTAGCATTGTTCGGGAGGCAGACACACTCTGTCAGTTTAAATCTATATTCTGGCATACACATAATACACTATCGCATTTCTATAATTCAAATCCGTTTAAGGATTGTTAGGATGCATTAATTAGGTCAACTGGAACGGGGAACAAAACATTTTTTGTCACCAATGGAGTTTTGGTTCCTTGCCACTGTCGCCTTTGGCTTGCTTAATTGGGGATGCTTGAATGATTGCACAGACACTATTGGAAGAGAGCTGAACTGAATGATGACATCACTGACTCAATTGACTTTAACTGGAAAACTCTGACTCTTTGTTATTGTCCTCTTGCATTATTCACAATATATTTTCCTGTTTGACACTATAACGCTGCTTTGACACAATCTATTGTATAAAGTCCTATATAAATAAAGGTGGCTTGACTTGACTGAAATATTCTTCAGAAATGTCTACTTTTGTTTTCCATGGAAGAGAGAAAAAATGTTGGTTTGCACCACAGCTCTGACAACAACAAAAAAAAAGATAAGTCAAAAATATAAACACAGCATAACAATACACCTCAATCAGCGCTTCTAATGGCACGCCCTGGCTGATTAGGATGGAGGTGATATAATTCTGACGTGTTGAGACATGGTGCTCACATCCTTTGTAAACACAATGTCAAGTCACAGGCCATGCAACAAGTATGTTCTCATTTCTCATATTCCAAAATAACGTCTGCTATTCACATTCACTTCACATAGAAACAACAGGCAATGTGCTTGATATCTTGATAATATTTATGGACATCATCAGTCACTGACGATTTGTCAGCTGTTTTAAATGACTTCCAGGTGTTCTTTCAGGTTGTTTTCTCTTTTGGACAGACCAAAAGCCTTCTCTAGCACTTAGACCCCTACTGGGTTCCATCCACAGGACAATAAAAGTAAAGAGAGAGGGATTAGGGTAATTGATTAATGTCTGTAGTGATTTTTACGGTAACATGGGGACCGTGTTACGGTAACAGACCATGGCCCCATATGGAGGTGGTTAGCCTGGAGCAATGACAAGGCTTTCCAGGAATATATCAGGGCCTCAGTCAGCTCACACGTGACAGCCAGGGGTCCAGAGATAGCTATATATACAGTACACACACGCACACAACAGATGCTCACACACAGAGATCCAAACAATGTATGCACAATATAAACAAATGCATACAGGTGCCATCTTAAAAACGACAAAATCATGGTCTAGCATTGTGGTGCATTTAGCATATGCTTAAATAAGTTACATGGTGGTCCTTAGGCAATTTGAGTTCAAATCAGTCTTCCATCATTTTCTGATCACACCTCTTCTCTTTTCACAATGTTTTATTGCCACTTCCCATCTGTCCTATCCCATTAACGGCTAAAAGTTCTTTATAAATTCCCAAAAATATTTTATTTCATTTTGGATGAAGACATGATTATGTCTTAGGGGACATACATGTGGACATCGATTTTTATTACTACTGTAAGTGACTTACTGTAAGAATATATGAGTCACACTGTAGAGGAAGTGACACGTTTCTTGGGAAACCAGTGTCTAGACACATGTTAAAGCAATACACCACACCGAACTGCAATTCAGCACGATCGAAATTACACCAACAACCATGTTATCCTAACACTAACATTTACAAATGTAATAAAAAAATCTTTGAGAGGCCTTACATAGCTTAATAACCATACAGAAAGATTAATGGAATAACTCACACAGACATGGCATCTGTCACTTTTTACCCAACCCAAATGTTGTTCCAAACCGGTGTGCTGTTAATTTCTCCATGGAACACAGAAGGAATGGCATTTTTTAAGAATATTTCTGCAACTCTTTTCTATAAGTGACAGTCCATACCCCCCATGGAATAAATCAATTCAAATAAAGCACTCTGATGCACCAAACTGAAGCCAGTGACACTAAGCCATCATATGCATCAGAAGTTCTTTTGGACTACTTTTATGCTGTTTTGTGGTTTCTGGAGCATGACTGTAGTCAGCATGAACTAATGCTTTATGAAAATTAGTTGCACAAATATTCTTCAGAATGTATCCTTTTGTGTTCCATGGAAGAAAGAAAATTATACTGGGTGGGAAAGACAAGGGGGTGAGTAAATAATTAAAGAAATTCCATTTTTGAGTAAACTATTCCTTCAAGAGAGAGAGGAATGAGAACAAAGGGCCTCTTACATATTTGCCTGAGGGCTGACACTGAGGTAAGGAGCCAGAGCTGAGCGTAGGGGAACTCGCAGGGCTGCAGAGCTCAGGAAAGGGGTTGGGGATGGCAGGTAGAGAGGACGTTCGGTACTGTTGCTCCTCTTCCTGAAGTCTTCTGGAGGAATAAAGTAAAATCTCAGATTTAGGGTTATATTACGGACATGAAATGTGCAAAGAACCTTGTCTCGCAAGGGTATTACTGTCGGCCTAGAATGGTTGGTGGCTTTGGGCAACATTAGCATTTAGGGACATTTTTTTAAATCAGTAGTCGGGGAGTCCTTTTGAAGTGGGGACTTCAGAGAAAAACTGAAACACACACATGAGGGAGTGTGTGATATGGAATTCAGAGCTGAAGTCTGAACGGTAACCTCTGAATGAACCTTTGCTTGAGTGAACCCTCGTTCACGAACTCGTTATGCTCAACTTCCTGCTCTGATCCACAGCTGAGAGGGAAAAACATGCTCACCAAATGGAAACCATTTATTCTCAGAGGTTTCAGTACAACAGAGCAATGGAATAACAGGAGTGCCACTCTTGATGGAGACAAAGAAAGCCAAGCTGAAGTGTTGTTCTGGAAAAAAATTTGAAGTTGTAATGTAATTTGCACTGCTTTCGTTATTTCTTTGAGCAAAATGTGCTGTGCATGTAAAGTGACTTCCAAAAATATTTGGACATATACTGCACGTTACATTTAAAAATGTCTAAATTTTGCTGCAAAATAACTCAATGTCAAAGCAAGTATCATCTGCAAACTAACACCTTTACTAACTAAGTTCACATTTCTGATCAGTTTTCACAGTGAATTCTGAGCAACTGATCCCAAGGTGATTTTTAGTGTATGCATTAAGTCACTAGGAACATTTTCCCTTAATGTTTAACAATTAATGTTTAACTACATTTTGAACTCTATATCGATTGTTTTATAATTGCAGACCAATTGACTTCTTAACTCTTCCCTTGCCAGTGTTTTTTTTTTTTTTTTTTTTTAAGTTGACAGCCACTACCAGCATTTTTTTAAAGGGGTCATGAACTGCCTCTGTTTTTTATTTTGTATTGTTCTCTGAGGTCCCCTTATAATGTTATCAAGATTTTTTACATACAAAAACATCATTATTTTAGAAGTAATAGGCTATTTTCTGTCCCGGGGGGTTTTTTTTTGTTTTTTTTTTTCAATTTGGCACTGCACAGCGTCTTGTTGTATTCGGAGCATCTTTATCGTTTGGTTCCTCTTCTAGGGAACTCCACACTGTGCCCCCTAGGGGGCAAATTGGGGAATGCAGCCTGCATGACCGGTGTCTGAAGCACGTGTGAAACAACGTCAATCTATTGGTCTATCTGGCCCATGACGTCATAGGCGGGGTGCCCGAAAGTATAAAAGGGCACCTGCTGAATACGTCATCCACTTTGCTGTCTTCAGGAGCCATCTGTTGCAAGCAGTGTGTGACTATGTCTAGCAACCCGGGTGAGCGTTTCAAGAAGTGCGTGCCTCCGTGTCCTAGGTATTTGACACCTGAGGACACGCATGACTTGTGCGTTATGTGCCTGGGGGAGGAGCATGCGCGTTCAGTGTTTGAGGGCTCTGAATCAGCTCGTGGGGATCGTAGGTTGAGCTCGCGGAAAAGTTCGAGAAAGGTATGGATCTTTCAAAAACTTCTGCCGCGAGCTCTAGCGTGCTACGGGATCCAGACACTCTTTCATTGGAGTCATCTGATCCTGATAGCAAGCTGCTGGGCTCTTCTAGTCATAATGACGAAGATGAAGAGGTTGATGTGGTTGGTGATGATGATGAAAGTGCGAGCACTGAGTCATCATCGACCACTCCCAGCCGTGCATACGGGGATATGGTGGATGTGATGGATCGCGCCACTAAGCGGCTCGATCTGGTTTGGATGCGTGAGAAGCCTAAACCGGCTCGCGGCCGACTAGATGAGAGCTTTTTGGCCGGTCTTGATCGTCCCGACCCCGGGAGATATCTAAATCCTGGGGGAAACCATATTCCTTTCGGCTGCATCCCTTTCAACATGCTGACTATGCCACTCTTTCATTGGAGTCATCTGATCCTGATAGCAAGCTGCTGGGCTCTTCTAGTCATAATGACGAAGATGAAGAGGTTGATGTGGTTGGTGATGATGATGAAAGTGCGAGCACTGAGTCATCATCGACCACTCCCAGCCGTGCATACGGGGATATGGTGGATGTGATGGATCGCGCCACTAAGCGGCTCGATCTGGTTTGGATGCGTGAGAAGCCTAAACCGGCTCGCGGCCGACTAGATGAGAGCTTTTTGGCCGGTCTTGATCGTCCCGACCCCGGGAGATATCTAAATCCTGGGGGAAACCATATTCCTTTCGGCTGCATCCCTTTCAACATGCTGACTATGCTAATGTTGAGGGTGTGGCCGAGCGTGGATACTCGAGGTCAGTAGCGCTTCAGACCACCTCGCGCCTGAATGGCAGGGTGTATGTGGCAGCGGGTCAGGCTGGTGGTGCTTTGAACACCATGGCGGTGTTGCAGGCCTATCAGGCTGACTTGCTGAAGGATTTGGATAAGGGCAGAGGTTTGTCACCTGAGGTGGTCGAAGAGCTGCGCCACAACACAGATTTAGCTCTCCGCACCGCCAAGCAAACTGCTGCTGCCATTGGGCATTCAATGGCGGCGATGGTGGCTACGGAGAGACATCTGTGGATCAACCTTGCGGCCATTGGGAAGAAAGAGAAAGACTTTCTCCTCGACGCTCCACTTTCGCCGACCGGGCTCTTTGGCACTTCCGTCGAGGTGGTTGTGGAGAAGTTCAGGGAGGCAAAAGCACAATCAGCTGCTTTCAGGAAATTCATTCCTCAATGCTCCAAATCCTCTTCTAAGGGGGATGATCGGTCTAGAGCGGAGGCTCATAGACAAGATCAAAAGTCTAGCATCGCTAACTGCGCCCCTCCTCCCTCTAGGAGTCAGCAAGGGAAGCCTACCGCTAACAAAGGGAAAAAGTATCTCAGGAACGTGCTAGATAAGAGGCGCGGCCATATTCCGCATCCCAAGGATGGCACTTCCTGATTATCTTTCTCCCAATACCCCCCCCCCCAAGACCATGTGTT